GAAACAGTCAGACATGAGAGAGGCCCTGTGATACCTAGGTACTGTATGTAAGCTCGCTTAGGGTTCTACCCATACCCGTACTTGGAGAAAAACCGTTGGTAGGTATGTTACCGTTACTGTAAGGTTATTTGTATAGACTTTTTTGGGTGGAATGTCTACTATCTATTATCACCTCTACTACTAGGTTAAATTCTTTTCAATAAATAATCAGCAAGCAAAAGCTTATAACATTTTTGGTATCGAATCATCAAAATTAAATCAAATCAAGCAGATTGAGTTGACGTTGATGTTTATGTCGACATGTAATTGGCTACCTAGCTTTCTATTATATGTACTTACTATCGAGTACTAGGTATGTACTTACTTGTAGTTAGTTATCTAGTAAGAATATAAGCGCCATGTAATGCTGGTGCGGCGGGGATGAACTTCTGCAGCGGCGAAAGAGAATGATTGGGATAGTAATAATGATAATTGACAATGATGATTAATGATTGGTGTCGTGGATACGATATGATGTGATGTGATGTGATGCGGCGCGGCGCGGCGCGGAAGAGTATAAGGTTTGAGTTTTAGAGAATGCGTGTGAAGATGTGGATAAGGAGGGTGAGGAAGAGGATGAGGATAAGCAGTACAATGAGGATGTTGATTCGTGATGCGGATACGATATAATATGATATGATACGATACGAGGAGGCAAGGTAAGGCACAGTTGTGTCATGAGTCGGTGGTGAGCGAGAATAATGAGTGATAAGCAATAGAAGGTTCGTTTGTGCTTAGAATGAGTAGATAGGTAGGTAGGATTGATTAGTTGTAATTGGGGAAATAAGAGATGTAAATGCATAATATGGTATTGATATATGTATATATATATCTCGTTGCAAGATAATTTTTAAAACCAAGAAATAAAACTCATGAATTGCATATCAAGAGATGAAATAGAGAGATTCATGCTTTCGTGCAGTACGTCAAATATTTAAAGTTTGTTTATATACAACCAAAGCGTTTATGTTTGCTATGGATTTGCTATATCGCACTATATATCTACATCATGTGCCTTCGATATCTTTTCATCTCCTCATTTTAGTGCGTTAATTCTTTCTTCGTTATGTTTCGTAAGAAGCGCTTTTTGTAAACATAGTGCATCAAGTGCATTTATTTGGATTGCCAAGCAAACTGGACAGAAACACTTTGGCTACTTGTGTAGACTGTTGCTTGAGTAGATCCAGATGGAGTGGAGGTAGCGTAGAAGGTGGAGGAACCACCGTAGGTTAGGTAGCCGCCGGAGGACTGGGAGATGTTAGGTTGGGTGAGATATGGGGAATGGTAGGAGGGGAGCGGAGTATAAGGTAATGAAATAGAAAGAGAAAGAACTTACTCCGAATACGGTAGAGCTGACGCCGGAACCGCAGCTAAATGTACTGCCAGAGATACCGCATGCACCTTTGGAGGATTTGAGGGTGAAGCCGGAACCTGAGGGAGGAATTAGCATATTTTGTATTCAACATGTATTCAGATTCGTGCATAGAGAAACAGTAGTTTTCGATATTACTCTTTGTGCACTTTTCAAGAAGGTAAAGTGAAAGGTGAAATCTTACCAGAAGGAGTCGCAGTGTATGTGGCACAAGTTCCTGTAGTGTACCAAGTACCTGCACTGATCAAACATCCATTGTTGGAACCTCCAGCATACGCCTGCAAATATCCAGATCCAGAAAATGATCCGGTTCCAACAGGGGCAGTAGCGGTGGTAGTTGGTGTTCCACTGCCACCGCCACCACCTGACGAAGAACCAGATTTGACACCGTATTTAATACCACTTGATGGACATGATCCAGATTGACCGACGGGAGCGATAGGAACGAAAGTTCCGGTGGCGACGGAACCGCGTACTTCGAAGGAGTACCAGACGGCGTTGAGAGAAGAGGAGCTACATTGGATAGTGGCGGGGTAACCAAAACCGGCGGTGAGGGCTGCTTGGATTTGTGCAGAAGTGTAGGTCTTGGTGTTGGATGGCACGATGCCTGCATTGGCTAACCACTATGATGATGTTAATTATCTGCTTCGTTACTTATGTGGTGAGAAACTACTTACTGTGTATGTAGGAAGGATCTTGAAAAGATCAACAGCAACGTTGAAAAAATCTACGACTTCTGCACCAGTGGTGTAGCTACTATAGCAAGAAGGGTCAAGGGTACTGATACAAGTTCCGTGCTTGCTCCCACCTCGTGTTCCCAGAATACCTCGTTGGTTGAATCATCACTCCCCCAACCGGGGTGTTCATGTACGAGAGCAAAGATGTTTGACCAGCAGCAGAAAGAATGTTGGTTATGCTTGAGTAAGCACGGCTGCTATCGCAGTTTGAATCATATGTACCATCGCAGTGATCGGGCCATAAACCGTGGATTGTCCAAGAATCGGAAGGACCTGGAATATGATTAGTTCGTGGTTATTGAAGGGAATTTCGGAAAGGAAATATGTATACCTGTGCTAGGATCCGAATCCCAAAATTGGGTTTGAACCATTTGACCACCAGGAGTATTGAAGCAGCAGGTATTGGTGGATGAACCACTACAACTCAATGCTGGGTTTGAGCATACTAATGGAGTTGCAGCTAGACTTGCTGCATGTGTAGCTGGTGCCAGAAGCACAAATGGCAAAATAACTTTGGATATCGAGGAAATCATGGTTGCACACGGATTCAATACCAAGGGAAAGCGAGGGAAATCGATGCTTCTATTTCATTTCAAAGGAGATTCCATATTAACATCAGGCATGGCGGTAGATATAACACTTTCCACGCACTTGCCATGATAAGCAATCTTCCCCAAAAACGTGTCACACTCCATTGGTGTCGGACTGTAAAAGAGGCATTTTCTAAGAGAAGAAGGTGTATAAAAAGCAAAGGTCGGAGGAAAGGGCAATACTTCACGCTCATAGGTCAATTGTGATATTGAACTATGATGTTTTGAAGCTCCTAGATGGACTAGAAATGCGGCATGATACTACATTGATCCGCAAGTATGCCTGTCCCCTGATCGGCAGTCAATGAGAGTATATGATTCCCCAAACTGTAAATGAAGAAAGGTTGATGATTATGATATGGGGTTAACTGATGGTCAGGTACATTACGTTTCCCTAGCAAGGGACCATTCGGCTATCTCTCATTTGCCCTGGAAGGATTTCTCCTGGAGCAAATGAGAATGAAGATGTTGTGCAGGTGTCAAAGGTGGAATCCACTGAAGATAATGAAATTAATTAAATTTCCTACCTTCCCTTGTGGATGATATTGACGGGTTGTGACTTGTTGTCGTAGGTTCTTAAGTGATTTTTGGAAGGTGGTGGGACGAATTGCCGGGGTTTGTACGGGGCATGGATATACATGGGGCTTGGTGTAACCTTCTGAGATAAGAAAGGACAAGCAAGAATCTTTTATACTTTTTCGCTTCTCGCCGTCATCCATACAACATCGTCAATACAACTGTTATTACAAGTTACAACATGGTCAAATTATTCATTTATTCATTTATCTGTTCACTTATCTATTATTATCCTGCCGCTTCTACCACGGTTTGAAGATATGGAATATCATTGCTGGACTGCTCGACAGAATCTGCGGGCCCTTTAAACCTATCAACTTCTCACGCTCTCCATCACATGTGATCTACTCGACTATCTCCGTAGAAAAATAGCTTGCAGTGGATCGGTACGCGCCGTGGATACAATCAAGATCTGACTGCGGGACCACCGAGGCCTGAAGAATGGATAAGCAGGCTATCGTCTGTCAATTTTTATGGATAATCCCATCAATCAATCAAACAGTTCAAACTACAGACTGGGGTCCAGATGCGACTGACACTTCACTTGGCTGCGTTTTTAGGTATGATGATCTTCCGGCAATGATCCATGAATATGAATGAATATAAGGTTAATAATGATTACTTTTAGGCAGGTGTTAGCTACCAAATTTGGATATCACGGAGCTACATACACCGAAAAGTAGACAAGATTTTTTGCTCAAATTCAAAAGGTTTGACAGTGCTTTTGGCGGAGAGATTTTTCTAACTCGGAATCAATTACTCCCTCGAGCTCAAGACTACAACGTCGTCGTAAAGGCCAAACATGGTTTCACAACCTAGGATCCAGTATCAGGCAAGCTATATTCTGTGTGGTTTATACCCGTCAACACAAGGTCTGCAAGCAAATGCTCTGCTCTTATGCCCTGGAATGTCGAGGCCAGCTTTTATAAGTCATGTTCTATAAGATTTCTGGACGCCGAATAAGCTTCTGAATCAAAAAAAGATGAACGACGACACAGCAGGCTGACCTTGGCAATTATGGTTACGAGAAGTGGAGGTATGCCCTTTGTATCAGGACGAAGCATCAAAGATAAACCCCTCAGAGGTGTCAGAGAAGGTATGATACCGAGGACTGGGCTCTCCACGTTTTTCTCCATGGTATCAACTTAATTGTGCAATGTGCTCTGGTCTATCTAGAGAATGGGGTTTTCGGTCCATGAGTCCGCTCTCGATCTATCCCCTAGCTTAATATAGCTATGAGTATTCAAGTCACATAAAAATTGTCATGTAGTTTCAAAGTACGGAATCAGCCGTCAGACTACGTCCAAACAATTCGTCGTTAATTGCAACAAAATTTCTTCCATCTCATTTCCTCACATTTCATTCTGAACTTTGACCCCTTTGGTAGGACAGTTCCTACCACGGTTGGATCTATCTATATTTTATATGATAGAAATCATAACCTATCTGTCGCTTATTCGTGGTAGGAGGAACATGTATGCAGGGTTTTACAAAATGTCAGCCAAGACTTGCGACGAAAAACGTCAAACGTATAGGCGTCTTGCCGAAATTATTTTCTGAGAAAACCATATCTGTTTATAGTACGCCAGAATCATACAATACGTGGAGGGGCAAAAAGTTTTTGCTGGTGCTGGGGTTGCGCTGTGACCTTGGGGGAATTTCTCATACGACGCTAGAACCTGCCAAGAACTAGACGTATCAAGTAACTAATGCCAAAAAAGGATAAGTAGGCTTGCCAATGCTATTTCAAAACGTCACCGCGACTTTTCAATCGCGGCCAAGATAATGGCTTTCTCGCATTAAACCTGTGCTGAGCCGCTTGAGAGCTTCGTACCATTTCTGTGCATCACGTTATCTGTGTCACTGGGCGTTGGACGAAACACTCCGTCTCTCTGATGTGGAAAATGTTTATAATCTAAACCTATGAGATTTCAAAATTCCATTTTAGATCAGCCATTCAGTTGGCTCGAAGTTAATATCGAGAGCCGTGGGATAGGATGTGGGGTTGGCCAGACCTACATTGCACGGCCCTAGAAGTTATTGGCAACGCATTTCCTCAGCGAATTCTTGATATAAGAGGTCTTGTCCTCATGCATCCAAGAGTTTTAATTCCTCAGCTGTGCTCCTTTCAATTTTCTTTCGATCTTCATTTTACACTTGCAAGCTTGACGCTTCTAGATTCACGTTCAATTCATTAATTCCAATACCTTCCTTTCACAGCCCGCCTCCAACGCAAGCACCCCTCCACATCCCAATTTCAAAATGTTAAGTAACTATCTCGTCATGGCCGCCATGCTTGCCATTAGCATCTCGGCAATTCCACTTCCTTTGAACATCAACCTCGGAGCTTATTCACCTGCCTTGGTAGTCGGTGATGGTGAAATATCATTCGGAGGAAAAGCAGATGTATCCAATCTTATGAACGCACTTGAAGGAGCAGCCGTTAGCGGGGCCGCAACAAATGGTGGCGCTAAACCACAAACACAAGCACAAGCAGCACCAGTTGCAGCGGCCGCACCCGCCGAAGCACCCACCGAAGGCAAGACTGAAGCCCAAGTAACAGCACTACAAGGAATGGGCAAGGAAATTGCACCTCGTATTGTTAAGCTCGAACGATCTGATGTCGAAAAAGCTGCCAAACGTGATATTCAAACCTTGACTGCTGCTCTCAATTACGCTGCCGGTGCCATTAAGACCAGTCCAGAAGTCCAACTCGGAACAGAAGAATCTGGTGTTGGTATTCTTGTCAAGGCTGGAAGTACTGCTAATGCACCTGCTGCTGCCGGGGCTGCTGCAAAAGTTAAGATGGGCAAGCGTGAAGACGGTGCTGCAGATGCCAAGACGAAGACTACCGTCACTACTATGTTTATCCGTGGTGGACCAGCTGGTTAGTTACTCCTCTTTCATCCTCAACCATAAAACTTCATGCTAATATAACAACACTATAGTCGGACAAACAAACTCCATCTCTACAGTCCACAACGTCGAAGAGCTCAACAACTCGGCAATCACCAAGCGTGAGCCAAGTCCGGCTATCGATGGTGTTAACCTCAATATGGCTGAGGGACAAGTTGCCGAACTTACTTTTGTAGAGACAAGAAGCGCAGATGATGAGGAATAGATTTCCCATCTCGTCTGTGTGGCAGAAGGATATGGATAGGGGAAGGAGCGGAATTTCAAATTATTAGCGTCGGAATCAATTAAAAGATAATTTGTTTGATATACTCTCTTGCGCGGCATGGTAGCCGTGAGTGTGTTTCTTTTTCTTTTGTTTCCTTTTCTTTTCTTTTCTTTTCTTTTCTCTTCTTTTCTTAAATCTCGGTTATCACAAAGGCGTTTTCATAGCTCGGTTCGGTTCGGTTCAAGCTCTTGTATACCATACCGCATGGTTCTTAACGGTTGTAATTGGAGGGAAGATGGTAGGCATCCTGAGGATGGATGGTCAAATATATGATGGATTAAAAAGTAAAATTTATCGCATTTCGTATGATTACTTTCTTCTATCTATCAGGTGTATGTTATTATATTATATATCAATACTTGAACACAGATTCTACTCAAAATCCAATCTGTCAATTTGTTATCACTCGTTTAGATTTTTTTTTGCTTTTTCTCTCGGATTCTATGAATTTATGAATGTTAAACGTGAGGATTTTCTACTATATAGCCTTTTTTAATTGCATTTTCCTCCATAATATTATACCTGCGCCTTTTCAACTAACTAGGGCAAAATTGGAAAAAATGGCCAAAAATCTAGAAAACCCAAAATGTCAATCCCCCCCCCCCCCCAAACACCACCTCACTCAACACCCAAAAATTCTAGACTAGTCTAGATTAGTTTAGTTTAGATCCTAGGTTTCAAGCATCTGTTATGTTATATTAGGGGTTTATATTTGACTCTGACGTGGACTTGGACTTGGACTTGGACCCCTCTCGCTTGAGAGAACCGCTCTCGTGGGATTTGGGAACGGGAGTTATGTACTGGGTTATTCATTCCCTCGCTCGCTCGCTCGCTTTGGGGACGGCATTGTTTGAGATTAGGGGTATGGGGTTTTCAGGGGCTGATTTTTGTGTTTTTTTTTTGAA